CTCGTGAGCAGCTGCAGCTGTATGCTTTTATTTTTTTCTGTCAGGCTGTCTGAGCGCTCCTCCTCCTCTGTCCGGGGCTGGTGTGGGGTGAAAATCCTCCACCTCAGACGTTCAGAGATGTAACTATCTGCGATACTGTGGTCACTCTACATGTAGCATCAGTTATGCTAATGCTAGCTGCCTGTCACCTTCTCTCGTCCTGGCCACACCTCCGCTCTCTAACCCCCCCTCCCCCTCCCCTACCCACTTTGATGCATTTTTCAAATTTCGTCTTGGGGCGGAGTTATCTTTTCACAGGTGGGGGTGGGGGGTAAGATACACTTTAATTATTTTATTTTTTCCAACCGACCAACCTTTAAAAACGACTTGAGAAAGACCAGAGAAACTAATAAAATATGTTCCTTATTTAACAAGTTTAATGAAACCTGCTGCTTTTAATATAATTGTTTTTACTGAGTACTGCTGCAGAGGCAACATTACAACTGTACTCATCGTACTTACTGCGCATGCGCAAAGGCGTGTACGCGCATGTATTTATGAGGCACTGACTTATCAATGTCGGATTTACAAATATGAGCCCTACAGGGCAGCTTATTCACTATTTTATTTACAGAGGTAAACAAATTAAGTTTCATATATCAGCACGATAAAAACTGTTATTTATATTAAACAACGTTACGGTCCTACCTTTAACTGGTCACCATGTCCCATCTGAGTCCGGACAGCCACAAGTTGATAAAAAGGCAAAAAATAATAATAATAAAGCGGTTCCGTTCTAGCAGAACATCCATAACAAACCCATTCTTCATTTGAAAAGAGCGGGTAATTCTTCTGTCCCCGTAATGAAGCAAACCTTCATCTCTGGTGGGTCTTCTCGCTTCATCACCTCCTGTTTCCGTTTAAAGTCCGGTTTAGAACTTTGTTTGAGCTCATTAAAAATATAACATTTCATTCTGAACGTCAGGCTTAGAGAGAGAGATGAAAATTAACAGACAGCTACCGCTCTGCACCTGACATGCTAGGCTAGCAGCTAGCTTGTCATTTACTCTGCGCATGCGCAGTGTTGCCAGATGGGAAATGTTGAATTATCGCATCAGCAGCTGAAAATGATCGTATTTTGAGGAAAATGATCGTACAAACCCAAGTTACATTCTAGAGAGGCTCAAATTTACATCCTGCTCAGCTCACAATGTGCTCTGTATTCAACAAACTGCACGTTCTTTTGTTTATAATAAAGTTAAAAGCACTGTTGGGTGTCTGTTTTTTTTTTTCCAAAAGCTTTATTGTAAACAAGAACAAAACATGGAGTCTGGGGAAATGCTGCATATAAAAAGAAATGTTAGATAAAATGACTAGAATAAAATGTAAATTATAGGCAAAGTTGTTAAGTTTTGTTATTGATGAGCTGTGCTCTCACACCTGTGATTGTAAATTCACCTGAGCACGTGTCAATAAAAGAAAGGGGTGGCGTCACATCCGGCACGTAGTCTCATGTTGGGTGTGCGCTGCTGCCGGTTCACACAAAAGAAAAGTTTGTCATGTTCCTCTGTCAAGAGTT